ATAGCATCAGTGTCAAGACCCTGATTCTGTAAGGCACTAGGCATGTGCTTAACTTCAGGCAAGTGAGCAGCCCCATTGGACTATTCACATGCTTAAAGTTAGGCATATGCTTAAGAAACTTGCTGAATTGGGGCCCAATCTTATTAGGCAACTTGCCTTCTGCAAAGAAGAATTAGCCTGCAGCCCATAATCTCCAGCCTCCAACACGGTTTCTCCAAATGCAGAGATGCTCTACATCTTAAGTTTAAAGAAAATATTTTATTCAAAACCTTGGTTGATTTCCTTTCTTGATTCAGGATCTGCAAAATGGCAAATGCACCAGTGTGACAATCAGAGCAACATTTCCCTAACTTCTCTCCCTGCCTATTTACTTCTTTCCATAGTAGTGAGCTATCACTAAAATGGAAGCATTTTACTGAGGATGGAGAGAAGGACAATTTTACACAGTAAAAAATAATGGGCTAGAACCTCAGCTGGTGCAAATCAGTGTAGATCTATTGTACTCAATGAAGTGACACTGATTTACACCACCTGATGCTCTGGCCCAATAAATCTAGATATCAATTGTTAGTCCCCGAGTGCACCAATTTTAAAAAAAGTAACTGGATCGATTGCAACTAAAGCTGTATTTCTCTTGCAGCAAAAACAGCAGGGATCCAGCAAAGTGCTTTGGAAAAGATTTCCTTGGAGAACGGGTACTGTGACTTTTTATTCACGTATGTTATTATCTAACAGTATTAAATTTCATTCTTTCAAAAAAATTATGAAAAGTTGGAGCTTGGGAGGTCACTTTGCACAATAAAATAGCTTGAAACTAAAGTCATGATCTTATAAATGTTTGTTGCTGAAGGAGAAATCTATTACATGTTAAACAGAAAAATAATCTGTTAAATGTTAAACAAACCATGTAATGCATTGCCCTCTAAGTGGCAATGAGAGAGAGGACAGTAGAGGCAGGCGAAGGGGAACTAGTACAGTATATTTCAAGATGACTTTCAGTGAGCAGAATGCAGTCCTATTGATCTTGCTATTTTGGCTTTTATGGTGACAGACAAAATACACTTAGCTAAAGGAAACCTAGGAAAACTCCCATGAAAGTAATTCCAAGCACGTGTCTGCTTTTCCCATTAACGTTTCATTGTTTTAGTGCCTGCTAATAAAAAGAAAATACCTCTCCTCACAACCATCTGACAAGTGAGTTAAGTATACTGTCCACAGCAAATGTGAATCATGTCAGCTACATCAAAATTATTCAAAAAAACATGATTATGCTGCCATTTTAGAACCTGCAGAAAGAAACCCAGAATGCATTCAAGCCGATATTACTCTAAGTTATTCCATACGATTCTTTCTTTTAAAAGAAATTCATAACAAAATGAAGAGGAACAGGGAGGGAAACAGCCATGTGATTGAAAAGTAGCAAATACATTAATAAAAACATTAAGAGATACATACAGTGGACTTTCCATTCATGCTGATAGACATTCCCCATGTGCACAGATGCTGGCCCCTACTTTTGATTTATTTTGCAATATTCTTTTTAAAATAATTCTATTTAAAGATCTCCTGGACATGCACCTGACCCCACTTCCATTGATGTCAAAGGGAGTCTTTTCATTGCCTTTAACAATAGTTAAACTGGGCCCCATGATTGTAGCATATATTATGATTTATTTGCCTACTACACAACCGTACACATGTTTAACAATTAAGTGAGCCAAAGTGGTTAAATGTGGGTGCCTAAGGTGTGCCTGAAGATAAGTGTATATGCACCCACTTCATGTACAGACCCTCATGTACAAAAAATGTGCACTTACAATGTTTGGTGGCAAAATGCTACTGCAGCTCCAGAACAAAAGTAACCGTACTAGTGCTGTTAGTTCTGAGAAGGGTATGAACTGAGATGTTTAGTATGGGATTTTCAGAAGCACTCTACTTTGTCCTATCTCCCGTCCCATTTAACTCAGTGGGAGTTTTACTATTGACTCCAATGGGAAAAGAATTAGCCCAAGGTGGTGTGCTTTTGAAAATCCCACCCATAAAGTATTTATGATATACGTAGACAAAGACAAATATATCACAGCTCCCAGATCTGCGAAATGGCATAAACAGATTTCAGACTCACAGCTAATCCATTAGATATAGCCCCTCCCAAGACCTTTGTATCTGTAGTTACAACAGACTCTTTGTGGGTTTCCCCCATACAGTGGATTTAATTCTTTTAAAACTTATGCAGTGGGTCACCATTCTTTGTAAGAGGGCTCTAAGTCTGCTATTACTGGACTGGGGTCCCATATGGCTCTAAAAACACTACATCTACTGATGGAGGCAGTCCCTGATCTAGGAGATACTTTGGCTACCTGTCTGGCAGCCGAAATATCAACAAGCCCCGAGGCATAGAGTTATAAAAATAACACCTTCTTCTTCTTGATGGTTTTTTTTGGGGGGAGGGGGCAACTATTATTTTAAGCTTTACAATTCTTTGGATTGCCAAATGTTAGAAATGCAATCATTCTTTATCAAATGCTAGCAATCAAACCCACCAAATTTCAAACCTAATACTATTAAACTCCCCAAACTCCTAAATACCTGAAAGTTTAAAAACATATGTACACACATTTAAATACAGTATGTACACATACTTAAAAATTCACATGTACAGATTCCCATACTGTAACCCCTTTTCAGAGGCTAGTGAATGGTGTGACAAGAACCACATGCTGCAGGGATGTAGATCTCTCCCACTGCCTAAACTCCCCTCCCGCCAAAGCAGAGGCATTCAGTATCTTGCTTTTTAACAACACAGATGTTGAGGAAGATAGAAGCTGTAAGTCTTGGGGAGTTGTAGGTTCCTATAGTAGAATTTTCCCTTGGATGGTAATAATCACAGAGATTTTACAAAGTGCAGGACTGGGCCCTAAATTTAACCACTTAGTGTGAAATCTTGGCCCAATGAAGTCAATAACAAAATTCCCATGGACATCACTGGGGTCAAGATTTCACACATGAAGTTCTACGGAAGAGTAACTAAAATCATTATTATTAAATAGAGTACCAGCCTACGTTGTTATATATTAGATACATAGGAAAACTGAGGGAGAGGCACAGTGATCTATACACATGACTCCCATTTATATAGACTGACGCTATACGATCAAATTCCCATGTGTCAGACTAAAGAATTGCCCCATAATCTATACCGCCACAGTTCACGAAACTGGGTAAAAACAAACTAAACTACACAGAATTAAAGCATAGGAATGTGATTTCAAAATCATTAATTTTAAAATTATATTTTAAGGTCTTTTTAATGCATCCTATGCTGTGACTTCTGAATTAAGAGTTTAGAAAGCAAGGTTATCTATTGCCTTCTCACCCATGTGACATGGCCAACAAACATTTAGCAGTTGCAATAAGAGATCATATAGCAATCAGTGAGATAAAAGCCAGAGAAAAGTCTCATTATGAATTCATTGTGCGCAAACTACGCGCTGTTTGTGAATGATCCAACTCACTCTTTGCATCATTCGCCTGACCTTGCGAGAAATTCTTAAACAGAAGTTTAATGGGAATGAATCTTCTGCAGTGCCAGTGATGTATTTTAATTGCGAAAGACTACAGCCCATTTTTTCAGTGAACCAGACTGGGAAACAATGGAGATATTCAAGCCTTGGACTACGTAATTAGGAGAAATTAATATGCCCTCATTAAGGCTGTATCCATGAATCACACTAAACTGTTAAAGTCTGTTCCTTTAAATGGATGGGTAAATAAGTAAATATTTACCTGCATTACTTCTATTATTGAATGGCAGGTTATAAAGTAGTATAGTACAATAGATTCTCCCCTCTGGAAATCATGGCTTCATATCTGAGTTTAGGTCACAAGACTCAGGGCCTGACCCAAACCCCACTTCAATCAAAGGAAGTTTTTTTATTCACTTAATTGACTTTGGATCCTCGGTCTTTACCCAGGCAGAACCGGCACTAGGCGCCAGATTCACAAAGGAATCTAGGTGTGGTGATGCTGAGCGTTGCCACCCTTAACTTTTAGAGAAAAAAAAAATCACTGGGATCCACACTTTTGATTTGTTTTGCAAAATTCTGGACCAGGAGCCTCCTACGCCTGAGGTGAGAAACCTAGCCACTAAGCTAAAAGTTATGAGGAAGGTCCTCCTCCCGCACACCCAGCGTTTTGTGTAAGCATGGCTATAGGGGTCCAATAGGGTAGGCAAAGTCTGAACATGCTTACTGGATCAGGCCCCGCAGGCAAGTTAGGCAGAGAAATGCCTATCTTCCCCTGGTTTGTGCATTGCTTTGGGGCTTAGGCATCCAGACACCTGGCGTGGGGCTGCTGTGCATAGGCTGAGAGGCAGAAACATAGGCAGATGAGGAACTTTTACTGCCAACATTAGTATTGGGCACCGAGCAACTTTAGGTGCCTACAGAGTTCGGGGGTAGATTGAGGTTCCTAAAGTGACAGTTAGGTGCTTAAGTCCTTTTGTGTAGCTAGCCTTGGAAGTCTTGTGTAAACAGACTAGAGGATTTCGCCCTAAACATTAAGAATTCAGATTCCACAACTGTCTCCTGGTTTTGTTCCATATGTTAATGCTGTTTCATTCTTAATTCTTATATGAGCAGTTAATAAACTATAAGCAACAAGAGCAGAAGACAGGAATGTCTGGCAATTCACCCAACACAAGTATAACATAGACCTTGTTTGACTTTTGCAGCATGCTACAGAAATATCCATTTCCATATGTGGAAACTTGATTAGTTGTCCTTACAGGCAGTTAGCTTCTATAACCACGGGCTAGGTCTTTCGTATGGCATTGTACAGCTGCCAGTGATTTCCCTGTTTTGAAGTGTGAATCCATAGGGACACTTGTTCTCCAAGCCTGGGAAACATTAACAAAATCTGAGCCCAGAGCAGGTGAGCCTTTGTAGTCAAGCCTGTGTAACAAAACTCAGTAGCAGAAATTAATACATTATTAGTAGTACCTGATTCTCTATGGCCTTCCTGTTTTTTGGGTCGCTGACAATTGAGAGCTGTAATTCTGCCATCTTTTTCATCTTGCTATCCATGTCAATCTTCTGGATAAGGCTCTTGGTCTGGTTTTTCAAAAGCCTGACAGTGTCCTCTTTCCCAAGTTTCTTTGCAAAGAGGGAAGCACAAGCTGAGTGTATTGCTGTAATCCAGTTTTCCAGGTCCGTCTGGCTTGTTGCCTACATAACAGATCAAGAAAGCAACATTATAATCAAAGAGGACTTAGGTGATACTAAAAAGTTTTTGTCAGGTGCTTTGATTTTTAAGAGCTTGATGCTTTAAATTATGCATGTGTGTAGAGTTAAGTTAAGTAGGTTGCTGCTAGCCTTTTCTCCACTCTCTCATGGGGTATGTCTACACCGTGATATGAAACAACCCAGGCATGGCTGCGGCTGGCCCAGGTCAGCTGACTTGGGCTGTGGGACTATAAAATTTCAGTGTAGATGTTCAGGTTCAGTGTGGAGCCCAGGCTCCATGACCCCATGAGGTAGGAAGGTCCCAGAACCTGAGCTCCAGTCTGAGCCTTAATGTCTACTTTGCAATTTTTAGCCCCGCAGCCTGAGCCCTGCAAGCCCGAGTCAACTGACCCAGGCTCTGAGACTCAATGTGGTGGGTTTTTTATTGCAATGTAGATGTACCCCATGATTGCTACACCCAACCTTTCACTTGTGAGTCCTGCCAGCCCTGTGACTGCCGTAGAATCAGCAAGCACAAGAGCATTTCTGAGAGTTGTGGAGGTGAAGCTCAACCCTCCAGCCAGTTAAGAAGTAAAACTGACAGGCTATGAAGGTAAGTTTCCTCCAATCTGATTTGGTCACAAGGATGGTGGCCACAAAACTGATTTCCGAGGATAGGGGTCTGCATATTTAAACAAGCACAGATTAGTGGAGGGAGCACAGAAGGACAAGGGAGGATGCATTTTTATAAAGTGTCTGCAAACATCAATTAAAAAAATACAGTTTTGCAGCAATGTATTTTTCCTTAGGAGGATGGCTCGACGTTATGAACCTCTCCAATAATATAGACAAGTGGTTAGTTTCCTTAGATTATTAACTACTTTTTTGGGTTCCAAACGTCAACGTTTAGCGGAAGCAAAATTCCCTTTGAGGTTAATGGAGTCAGGGGTGGGTCCATCCGTATAGAACTGTGGAGTGCTAATAGATGCCTTACAGCATAAGTTACACTCTGCTTACTTTAACCCCATCCATTCCAGCCCCTCCATTATTTCTGTAGCTCTGGCTGGCTGAGTTCACTGATGAAGTATCATGCACCTGAATGGACCAGTGACAGACCTGGAGGAGCTCTAAAATCATGACAGCAGCAACAGTTATCACAGTTAAGTATTGTTTTAATTTCATGCCTGCAGCCCTCCTCCTTGTCAGGACCAGACATTTCTCAATCTCTTTTGTCCTCTATCTGAATATCATTTTCTACTGTTACACAGTACACTGCTCACCTTACGCTCACATGACATTTGGCTGTCTAATTCTCATCATTTCTGTCTCTCTTGACTGACTCTGATCCTCTCCTCTGCTTCTCATCTGGGTTACACTCCCTGTTCCCACCTCTTCTTACGTACCCCTTGCCTTTCCCTTCCCCAACCAGCAAAAAAAAAAGCATTAATGGATTAGAGAACATGGCCTCGGTTTTCACTCAGTCCTCCCTCTGGCAAAAATCCCCATTCACGTCAATGGAAGTTTTGCTTGAAGATAGGATTGAGTGAAAGTCTGAGGTACAGACTAAGATTTGTCTTAAAAACAAACAGATGTAGATAACACACACATTAGCACAGATAGATAGCTTACTGCTATTAATCATGTTTATTACAAGGGCCAACCAAGAATGGGGCCCCACTGTGCTAGGCACTATACAAATACAGAGCAGCTGACTGTCCTGTCCCTACCCTGAAGGGCTTACTCTCTAAATAGATGGGACCGACACAGGGTGGTAAAGGAGTAGAACACACAGGGAGTGTGAACAAAGTGATTGCAGCAAACAGCATGTTAGTTCCACAATTTCTGGGGGCAGAAGGGAGGGGATCAGAAAAATGGAAAGAAAAGGGAAGGGAAAGGGAGTGACAGAGACAGGGCAGTGGAGGAGAGGGTAAGAGGAATAGCTGTGGAATGAAACTAAGGCCTTGGCTACACTTACCCGCTAGTTCGGCGGCTGGCAATCGAACTTCTGGGGTTCAACTTATCGCATCTAGTCTGGACGCGATAAGTCGAACCCCGGAAGTGCTCGCCGTCGGACTGCGGTACTCCAGCTCGGCGAGAGGAGGTACCGC